CTTCTCTTCATTATGTAAGTAGCCATTTCTTGTTTGAGTCATCGGCGTTTTCACATTGATATTTCATTGTTCCGCTTCGAGACACGCGGGTAACCATACTCACGAGCAAGGAGTTAAGATACAAGTTATTAACTTTTACTATTTTTATCATCCAATCACAGGTCGGAGCCATTCCTGTATTTAGTCGCTAGTCGAGAGCGTGCAGGACGCCATCTTGTATGAACGCGCACTTATGATCGTCGCTGGACGAATCTGCTCTGTGATCAGGTAATTGACGAGAATGCACCAGTCTTCCACATAATTCACACAACTGAAACTATTGAGCTTTTTCTCGCTCATCTTTCGCGCGGAAAGACTCGTGAAATTAGAAATTTTCAAAGCAAGGTTCTCATGACATATATATAAATAAATGATAACCCGCTGACATATCGTAGTTCAAAATTAACATTGGTCCCAATGCTCCACGTTATTTTGCTGAGATACGAGTGAAGAGAAGGATTGATAATCCGAACTGGTAATTATTCAGTTTTTATAGCATCATAAAAAAAAGGTTATTGTTGATTTCTTCACTCAGAATCTAAGAACACAAGTATTCAACGAGAACGTCTGGCGCATAGCGCCACATTTGTTGATCCCCCAACTCTCATGAATAACCAATGAGGCTTTCACCCCCAACTGTAACACATGTTTAGGAGCCACAATGATTCGGGGCCAGTGATAAATATTGTAAGGCTTTGTAACCACAGGTGAAAGCAATGGCGTTCGAAAGGAATCGTTTAGGTCTAGAAAAACCGCTCGCAAATAGCTTCTTCCTTGTCTGTTTGACTAACTGCTGGGTCTGAAAATGGATTTTCAGAATTCCATTATTTTACGGAATAAAAGATCCCACAAAAACAAGAATTCAGCATTATTGAAGCTTCAAATCTCAAAGTTTAACCTTTGCTTTAGCGGAATGGACGTTCAAAAGTTGGAAAGTCTTCTGTTTGGTGGCCATAATTTGACTGGGAGGAAGGCATTCAACCAAAATTACAGAGCCATGGGAAAAGAGTACTCGGTAAAGCGATGGTTCGGGACTCCATCTAGCATACTCTAGGGATGCTACAAATTTGACTCGACTCAACATTTTGATCGCATGTGAATCATTTTCCCTATAACTTGAGCAATTTTTAAAAGTTTTATTTTCCCCCCATGCACGAAGCCTTTAACGACTGACATTTAAAATCCCAGTTCGAGAACGTTGAGCGCATGCCTGGACGCCATGCTGTCCTCGATTTCTGACCGTGAGCGCGATTTCGCGATTTAAATCTATTTATAGGTTTCAGAGTCCAAAAAATGAGTCGATGTAATTCTTATCGAAAAACAATGGAAAAATCCAGGTGAAATTTAGATTCGGGATATAAGTTTCTTATCAGAGGGTTTAGAAAATTAAAAAGAAATTCAAGAAAAAAAAGGGAAGTTGCCTTAAAATATTCTAATAAAAGTCTGGAAATTCAACATAAAGCAAGGAATGAGTTCTAATGTTTAATTTTGCTTTTCACAAAGCAGCTAATTTTCTCGTTGGTTTTTCGTGATCCTCGCTGATAAATTCGTCACCTTATTTCTAAAAATACCAAGCTAAGACCCGTAGAGGCGTTTCTGGCTGAATAATTTACGAGTTATCTTGGTGGTGTTACCACCTCTTCGAAAAAGAAAACTGGTTATTTGTTGTGGCTCCACTTACATACATTTTACAACGCGAACTTGTTTTGTCTGGTGGATCCCCTTATTCATGGTAATAACAAAATGCTATGTAACAAAACAGCGTTAACAAAAGAGAAACAGTTCCTTTTGCTAACTATACGTAACTGAAAAAAACAAATTAAACTAGCGCTATGTTGAACTCAATGATCCTGTAATTCCTAAATAATTAACGAATTTATCTTGGTGGTGTTTCCACCTCTTCAAAAAAGAAAACTGGTCGTTTATTGTAGCTCCACTTACATACAATTTACACTGCGAACTTGTTTTGTCTGGTGGATTCCGTTATTCATGGTAATAACAGAACGATTTGTAACAAAAACAGCGTTAGCAAAAGAGAAACAGTTCTTTTTGCCAACTACACATAACAGAGAAAAACATAAATTAGACTGGCGCCATGGTGAATTCAATGATCCTGTGATTCCTGAATAATTTACGAGGTAAACTTGGTGGTGATACTACCTC